ATCCCTCGACGCCCCCTCCCTCGACGCCCCCTCCCTCGACCCCCTCCATCTCCTCCCCCCGGCCCTCGACCACCCGTCCCTCCCCCAATCTCCCCCGCTCGGGCGGTTCCATCGCCCCCCATCCCACGCCGGAGGAGCAGCCTCCCATATCCGGCCATCACCGCCGTCCCCATGAGCCCAGGCAGCACGGCGGCAAGTAACACAAGCAGCCCGCCCTCTCGGCAACGGCGCCCAAGGCCCCTGCCCGTTATCCAAAACGCTTCTGGTCAGATCGAGACGTATCCTGTCCTCCCTACAGCACCTGTGTCCAGATCGCTATCCCCTGTGACTGAAGGCATCGAGACCCTCAGGACAGGAGCGCGGAACAACCGTCGAATCGAACCTAGCCCGGGGCCGGGGTCCCACGGCCCAGACCTACTCAGGCAAGGCTCGAGGTTGGGTGTGATGGAGTCACAGACAAACCTGTCGGGATCGTCCACCCGGGCCTCCGGTCAATCCCCGATCTCTCCAAGCGCTGTTCCTGCGCCGTTGTTCAATGACAGGGCCCGGCGACCATCCACCCGTGGTGACTCTCGAGGACATCCTCCTCCCGGCCGGCCTTCTACTGTGACAATGGGGGTATTGGCGGGACACGAAGAGGGAGGCGTAACTGAGGACAAAAAGGAACAGCGGGAAAGCGTCAAGACCGACGAGGAACATGAAGACCAAGACGAGGAAAAGTTCAGAAGGCGAAGACGGAGGCACGGCGTGATCTATTCGTCATCTCCGTTAACCTCACCCGATGCATCCTCACTGCCCCTTTTTCCTCCTCCACAGTCGCCAATATCACCACCAACTCCAGCAACCCAACACCCCTCAACGTCTACGGGGCCTAGGGTTCCATCTTCTACGTCTATTCGCTCACAGGTGTCGCCTCTCACACGCAGGGTCGATTCCGGGCATCAGCCTCTAGCCGGGCCCATCCCTCCAGAACGGGCCACTCCCTCAGCAGCCTCACCGCCAGCATCGCAGCCACAGCACTCCTCACAACCTTCACAGCCCCGTGTATCGCGGCGCAACCTTTCGCCATCCGGGCCCTCATCATCTGTATCCCCCCAACCCACACTTCCACCACCTGCATTTCGACCATCCTCACGTCGACCACCTCCACTTCGGCAATCCACAACAACGCCAGGATTGACACCCTCTCTCGCAGCCTCCTCTCCGCCCCCATCTCCCCGCCATGCTGCGCCGCAACACCGCCTACAGGGCCTTGTCATCACCCTCGACGATGGGGAAGAGGACGGCAGCAACAACGGCTGAGGAAGGAGAAACGAAGAGAGAGTAAAGGGTTGGGAATACGGTGGTATGGGTCGGATCTCACGGATCGGGGATGCGGGCGGGAGTAGAGGAAGCGTGGCCGTGGCGAAGCCTTCAACGCAAACTGGGAGAGTGAGAAAAGGGAATAGTGAACAGCGGAGTAGGAAGATGGGACGGGTGATTAGAACAGGGACACGGGAATCCCGGGGTCGAGATAAAGGGCGTGGGAGTGCCTGAGGAAAGGGGAGAGGGAACAAAGAGGTAGCAGCGGTTGTTGAGTTTCCTTGGGCGTCTAATTAATTATCAATTCCTTAGCTTAGCGGAGTCTTTTCTAGCAACATGAAGCCTACCAATTCACATCGCTTAACATCTCATACGCTTGGTGTACAGGGTCTTCTTTGAAGTCACGAAGTTTGTGTCTAAAATAACCTGCCCTAAGGAATAATATGAAGAGGGATTGACTGGCACCAATTCATCGTCATTCGTTTCGCATCGTGAGCTTCATGCCGTGTCAAAGTCCAAGGAGGCCGTCTGGTCGACCACGTTGCTGTCCCGTGTCCGTGATGTCAGCTCAGAGCTGTGTTCATGTTTGACAGCGGGGGATTGGCCGGGGCGGGATTGGCACTGGGATTTAACAGAAAAGCCGGCACGTGTGCTGCACGATGATATCAGATCCCAGACCGCTACTCGTGCTGGCTTCCTTTCAGAAGATGGCCGCGCCAATGAAGTCTGAAAATCAACGAGTGTGACGCAACAGGTCCTACTGAGCCTTATGCAACTTGTAAGTGTGTTTAGTGGTCTCATTCTGGATTTAGACTTCCGGGATGAAGCTCAGGAACACTTTTACGACGTTAACCCAAATACCTATCACCCTATTAATAAACATTAACCCCAGCAATTTTCAAGTTCTGATGGCCCGGCTACTAAAGCCGCTGCCATGACTTCTTCTTACTCCTTGTTATTGAGTAAATATCTATCGCCCTCTAACTTTTGGTATCCGTCCTCTTACACGATCAGATCACCACAAAATGCCAAATCCATGCCATCGGCCAAGCCAGGCTCCCTCGAGCTCTGTGTCATCTCGCAATACAGGAAGCAGCCACCCCAGTAACGGTCGATCCCCGAGCTCACGAAACAATCAGCCCCCAGAGCGTCCGGCAAGGCCGGCGAATTCCCGAACCCCAAGTGACACATCTCATGGTACAAATTACGACCCGCGAGATCGACTTTACTTGTATCGGGATGACGACGACGGCGTAAGCTACGCAGCTAGGGGGGGACGGGCCACTTCAAGCTTTTCACAGCCCGCACGCAGCTGGCGACACTCCCCATCAGAGGCTACCCGTAACCTCTCACCTCCACGGTCACCCCGAAGGCCCCCAGCCGGTGACGATCCTTGGATATACGACCGAATAGCAGATGACCAAAATCGGCACCGTCGTGACCACAGGACCCACTCTGAACGGCTAAGGGGTGGTCAAGACCACACGCGAGACCCCCTCTATCCTCCTCAATCAAAACGCACCTCTCGTTCTCCTTCCCCGCCTCAATACCAATCTAGAAGAAGAACCAACCCCAACCCTAAACCCAACCCACCTAACCATAAACCCCAACCAAAATCCCAATCCACCACCCACCGACCCCTCCCGCCCAGACGCAAACACACAGCCCTCTCCCTCGCCCAAGAAGCCGCCCGACACGCCCTCGACGCCGGCGCCACCGCGGCCCTCCGCTTACGCAACGACCCGTCCGCCTGGGAAGGTCAAAGGGGGACTGAGGGCGGGCATATCGCTGCCGCTGCCATTAGCGCAGTCGTTGTTGATACCTTTTTGGCGAAGCGGGTTCCCATGCGTAAAGGCGGATTTCGGCACTCGGTGGCGAAACAGGCGGCGCAGGTGGTGATTAAGGGGTTGGTGGCGAATGTTGGGGGGTCGGGTGGTGGTGGAAGGGGGACTGGCCCTGCTGGGAGGAGAAGAAAGAGGTGAGAGAGGTTTGGAGCTGGAAAGTCGCCCACAAGGTAATCAATGTAAGAAAGGGGGAAACCTGGAAACTGCGATTGTTGAATCTAGTCAGAGTTTGATTTCTTACAACGAAGGCTATTTAACGACGTCTAGGCTGATTGACCATATGTGGACAGAGTGCCACACACTGTCTCTAATTATTTTTGATTCAGATTTGACAGTAATTACCAGCTTAGGTTGAGGGAGAGGGCCACGGGTTGAGGTCGAATTTTTCAGATCATGATATTATGTCACAAAAGACCATACAAATTACAAACGGAGCTGTCCAAACTCAAACTCTCAAACATAATTCTTCAATTACAATGATGATCATGGGGACGAGAAGGCATTCGGCGTACTGAATATACTAAGTTCTGTATTGAAAACACCTTACGAGTCAATGTCAAGAGTCTAGTAGTTCCGTAGCCAAGGCTGCTATGAGAATTGCTGACAGTGCGTGGACCTGAACTATTTCCTCGGAACCCGAAGCCGGCCTCCGGAGTCCGACGCCGAGAAAGCAGGTCCGGTCCTTCCCATCCCGGATATCTCCAAATGGACCCCGTGCTTGCCTTTTGAAATTCTTGGAAACCATAGGTTTGCAGAACCAATACTAGAAAGCCCCTTCTACTCACATGGGTATCCGAAGACTTAGATTTTGGTCTCTCTTTCCACCGATGTCCTACTCGCGCAAGTTGCCCTTTAACGCCCCCCGATCCGTATCTTGCGAGTCACCGAATTGTAGTTCGGAACAATACTTCGTTGACCTCTGCAAACCACCTTGAAATCACAACAAATCCTTGGATACAGAATTGGGCTCCAATTCCCAACATCGCACTGAAATCTTGCAAGGCAATCTACCACCAGCATGAGCGGAGCACCGAACGAAATCAAGGTCCTCGGCCTTCACGGCAAAGGCACCAGCGCCCAAATCTTCAAATCCCAGACAGGTACAATAATTATCCCCAGATGCTCTTACTTTACAACCCCATGTCCACTTGAGATCGGCCTAGCTGACAGTCGCTTCCCCTTTCCCTAGCCGCATTCCGCCACAGGCTCCCTGAGCAATTCAACTTCACTTTCATCGACGCACCACATATCTGTGACCCAGCCCCGGCGACCGACATCCTCTTCACTTCCAATCACTATGGTTGGTACCACATGCCGGCCACCCCCGAGGTCCTGCGATCTGCCCACGCCATCCTCGATGCCTACCTCGCCGAGCACGGGCCCTTCGACATCGTCATGGGCTTCTCACAGGGCTGCGCCGTCATCAGCAGCTACATCCTTTACCACCAGCGCGAGAAACCCGGCGTTGAGCTCCCCTTCAAGGGTGCCGTTTTTATCTGTGGCAGCGTGCCGCTGCCGGCACTACGCGACCTAGGCGTGAATGTGACGAAGCGGACTGAGGAGGTGCATCAGACATCCATAGAGCAGCTGGGTAAGCGGACAACGGAATTGCTGAAGTTAGCCCAGAACCTTAAGAATGTGGGGCCCGGCGCGGGAACAAAGGTGTGGGATGATAAGACGGGTCTGGTGCATGACCCGGAGGAGAAGCTCAGGACGAGCGATGTGTATGGGCTGGATTTCACGAAGATGGCGGAGGACTTGTTAGTTCAGATCCCGACGGTGCATATTTACGGCGCCAAGGACCCGCGCTGGCCGTGCAATCGACACCTGGAGTATTTCTGCATGAAGAAGAAGGTGTTCGATCATGGCGGTGGACATGAAATTCCAAGGTTTACGGCAGTATCGGATAAGATCGCCGAGATGGTAGTTTGGTTAGCCAACGAAATCAAGAGCGGGTGAGAAAGGCTCACGTAGGGGGAGGATGGGTCGAAACAAGATTAGCAGGGTTGGCGAGATTTTATTAATGGGGGTAAAGTTATAAGAAGGTTATGAGGCCTATAGACGTGTCGCCTGCAAGGAGAAAATACACGAAACAAACATAACGTCAAACAACAATGAGCTTGTGTTGTGTGTAGTGTATCGTGGCTCTTAACATTGCTGATTATATACAAACGTACGCTACCGCTACAAAATGTAAGGCTTCGCTTCCTTGAAAATAAGATGCGGCTTCCGTTTTGCCAGATCCAAAATGGTCTCGGCAAACACCCCATTTGCCCAGGCAAACCAGCTTCCTATTGTGTGTGTTATAATCTTGGGCTACAAAAGCCGTAGGGTCAAACGGGATGGTAAAAAAGGGTGGGAGCAAAGATCGAAACGTACGTGTATAAGACCCTGCATGGTTGACGTTGACGCTCTCGTGGATCAGCCCCAGCTTACTTGAGCTGAGCACCAGCTGCAAGCAGCCCATGATCTCCTCATCATTGTCCGACGTTTGGGCTTGGATAAGCAGGCTCATGGGCCAGGCGTTCTGCAGGCCGATGTGCGGACCTATGACGCGGCATTCCAATGTTAGCTGGCCTTCTTTGGCATCGGTAATTTGGCGGACCCGAAAACAAAAAAGCACCAAGAGTCAGCCTACCTCCGATCCCCCGGAACTCCTTCCCCGTCAAAAAATACGGATTCCCCGTTTTCTCCAGCAACATCCGCCGCGTGTTGCGGTATACCGGGTCGTCTGCGCCCACAAAGCCCATTCGAGGCAATGCTAGTAGGCTTGGGTAATTGGCGTCATCCATTAGTAGCGCGCTGCCGTAACCATCGACTTCGTATGCGTACACCTCGCCGTACTGCCGGTGCGGCACAATACCGTGCTCACGGATGCCCCGGGTGATGCGAGTGGCGTAGTCTTCGAGGGTTTGTGCTAGTTCCTTGTTAAGTTTCTTTTGCTCTGGGCTGGTAGCGGTATCTTTGGAGTCAGAGCGGAGCATGGCTACCGTTCGTCGCAGCTCGACGGCCATCTGGGCGTTGGCGGGAATGAAGAACCCAAATATGGTCGCATCATCGCTGGGGCGGAACGCAGACCGTACAAGGCCTGTGCCGTTGTTGAGCGGGTTGCCGACTCCGTTCAAATTGAGTGTTTCGGTGCCCGTGTTGGTACGGCGCTGGAAGGTATAGGCGTTCTGCTGGTACCCGCCATGCTCTGAGTCGAATGTGCTCCGACTCTGCGTCTCAAGGACCGATATGAGCGTCTTGACCGCTTTATACCAGCGGCCGTTGAGGAACGCGCGACTGCCGCCCGTGTGTTGGTGGAAATCATTGGCCAATGCTAGGAAGTGGGCTAGAGAATCCAGTTCGTACTTGCACTCAAACACGGTGCTGGGCTCGTAGGCTGGGTGTACCGCGTCATCCTGTCCGTTGTAGCTGATTGGTAGCCCGGAGATAGGCGGCGGTTGGAAGGCGTTACAGTAAGGTGATTGGATCACGTACTCGCTCTGGGTGTTGATGGCCCCTAGGATCAGGTTGAAGATGGCGGGGTCCTTGGTGGCTAGAGCTTGGTATGGCTTCAATTGGTTTGTGCTGTCGCGTAGCCACTCGGCCAAGATATCACCCGTGATGACGAAGGACTGGGGACCGGCCCACTCGCCATCGTCAAGCCACGGCTGCTTCTCCTTGCGGCTGCGGAGTTTCTGCTTGATCTTTTCGTTCTTGCCGTTTGTGTGGAATCGCACCGTCGTGTCGGTGGTGGACGGAAATGTGTTCTCAAAGAGCCGGGCAAGGGCTGGGTCCTTCATACGCGAGGTCACGTCTTTGATGACCTTCTCAATGGCATCGGACTGAAAGGTCCGGCAGCGAGGGTTTGGCCGCTGAAACGGGAGCTTTAAAGGCCCGTCGGTGAGTGGCGGGCTGTGATATTGTTAGATTCGCGTGACAAATATGGCAATCGTCTGAAGTTTCTAGATGGGGACACTCACTGAGGGAAGGTTGCGTAGCTGCCATACTCTGGACATGCTGCATTGTCGGGTTTACCTTTCAATGGCTGCTGATCGCTCTCCTTGGCTTGGACCACTATAGGTAGGAGCAACGGCGCGACGAGTGCGCACCAAGAGGATAGCCACAGCATAAGGAGGTGAATATGTTTGCGTCTGGTAGCAGTTATGTTGCTGGTGTATGACGGGCGCTTAACGGGCAGTCGCGTGAGCAAGGTTGGTAACCCGAAAACAGAGGCCCCTCAGTGGCTGGGTTATGGTCGAGGCACCAAGCTCGTCACAGCACGCGTCGTCTCAACACGGGAGGTATTCTCGTTTCTGCCGGTGGCTCAGTAGCGGGTGTGTGGAGGCTGAGCACAATAACTTGCTCAATTCTTTGAGGGAGGCAAAAAGCTAGGCGGGATGAAGATGCGCTGTGCATGTAACTACTTATCAGCCCGGTCTAGTGGGACAGACAGGCAACTGGTTGGTTTCAGTGAAACATGGAACTTCGATGGACATTGGTACGATTGGGACTGCGGCGCAAAAGATTGGGGGTTGTCTTGGCCTCCAATCCGGGCCGGCTTGGCGGGGTTACCCGGTGGCATTCCCCAGGGGCAGCAGGGGTAAAGATGAGGGTGCCTTCCCAAGCCTGTGGATCTGGGGAAAGACCCTGAACAAAACCCCGGAATTTGTGGGGGCTACCAGGGGCATTGTGGGAAGCAGATACACCACAAGGACATCTCGGGCAAGTACACTAGTTCAGATGGGTTCGGTCCTTCATAAAAGAACACATGCAGTTGCTTATTTTGTTGCTTGTTGGCTTGTTAGATCGATGCCGATAGTTATCATGTTAGAAGATTGATGGAACGTCTTCACGTGGAATATTTCTAACACAAAACTATCATTTCTTGGAGAAGAAAGACATAATGTTGCCCTGCCCCTTTGGTCCCGCCTTCTTCGGTTTGGCTGCCACCGGCGGAGTCGAGGTCGCTGAAGCAACCGTCGGCTTGGCGGGAGGAGCTTCATCTTCCGAGAACGATTCCCAGCCGGGCTCTTGGATGGTCACTACAAAGGTCAGTTATCAAGATGAGAAATTCCGGTAAGCATTGGCGACGTACCAAGATAGCCCTGGTCATCCATGATCTGCTTCTTGCGCATGACCCGCCGCTTGCCCCGTCGCCGGCCATCAACAGAGGCAGTCACCACCTCTGGCTCTTCCTTCTCCGTAGGTGGCGGAGCGGGGGGTTCCTCTTCCATCGGCTCGTCTTCGGGCTCGGGCGACTCAGCCTTCTCGGATGGTTCCTCGTCTGGCTCGTCATCTTCTTCCATCATCCGCCGGAGATCTTCTTCTCTCTGCTTTTTCGTCCTGAAACCTGAACCGGCACGCGGTTTCGGCTGCGGCATTTCATCGTCATCTTCCCCATCGTCTGACATGGGCTGTGCGGTTGGCTTTGGCTCCTCCTCTTTTTTAACCTTGGTGGGTTTCGCGGCCGCTTTAGAGAAAGCCTGCATGATACCAGAGCTGGCGCCGCGCTTCAGGGTCGGCGCTGGCTTCTTGACCGGATCAGAAGCAGACGAAGTGGGCGTCGGCTCTTCCTCTTTGACTTTAGCGGTAACCGAGCCATGCGCTGTTTTCCCGAAAGCAGAGTGAACTGCAGAAGGTTTGGCCGATGTAGCTGCCACTATGGCCGCAGAGGCAGCTTTCAGGCCTGCCCCTTTCCGGTCCCTCCGGCGTACTTTAGCGTTGATGATGGGAGCGACATTCTCATCATGGTTGGCATTGACAGTGGGGATTTGGTTGGTTGCATCCACAAGTAGAGCAAAGTCCTTGGTGGGGTGCGGTCCCAGGCTGTATAGGTGAATCGAGGTGACCTCTTCATACTCTTCGAGAATTTCTGCGACCAAGTTGTTAACTCAGTCTTTGCCAAGCAGTCGGGGTCGGATACGCACGCTTCAATTGCTCTTCAGGGACAAGTGAGAGTGTGGAGGTAGGCACCACTTCGGCAAGTGACTCAACCTCAGGGGCGGAGCTGGACATCTCAATATCTCCATCCGAACCATTTTGATGAGTCGACGGCACACCGAGGACTTTCTTGGTCCCATATACCAAGTATGTGGCATGAACAGTCCCCGGACGCTTTGCATTCTGGCTTCGGTGGAACTCGTAAAGCATTCTAAGATCATTAATTCCATCTCCAGTTACCAGTGAAAGTATCAGAAGCAAGAAGAAGAAAGGCCTGCATACTGTTTCGCGGTGTTGACATGAACTTTTAGTGTTCGGCTCAAAATCCGATATGTGATCTGCAAGGCGGGTATTGAGTTAACCAGCAAACTGACAAGTGCCAAAATACAAGGCTACTTACCACTTTGTCCTCAGAAAGGACATTCTCAGCTAGAAATTTAGTGTATTGATCCATGGTCAATGGTGACGCACTTTTGCCTAGATGCAAAGTGCTTGAGACCGGGATTGACGCTCTGCTCAAGACGTTATGAGGTGGAAATGGTGATAATGGGAAAGTCGCGACGCGTAAAACAACGCGCGAGGTCACGTTCTCTCAATTGCGCCAGGTGTGAACCCCTGCATCGCCTGATCGATGTGGCTTACCCAACCCCTGGGCCCTTGTAACCCCTGTGTTGAATGCCATTTCGGTGATTCGCTAGCCTAAAATACGGGTCCAACCGCAATGCGATGAAAACCTTCCGCAGGCCGGACCTTCAAGGTGCTTCTCTATTGAGTTCCCCTTTCCATCCACGTTCTTTGAATTGTGTGGGAGAGTTGTCCTCGCGGCGCCGCGCCTTTCTACAAATCTCCATGAATTGCTTCAAATCTATCATTTAACTTCTTTAATTTTGCTTCTTCCAAGTTGTGTCTCCGGTCGGACATCGCGCTACTCCACGGTTGCCCCAACAAGCCTAAGCGGTCGTGGCCGGGACTTAGCGCGTTGCGCGGACCGACAACATGGCGTCGCTCCCTCGGTTCCGATTTCTGGCAATCGCTGTCATATTCCACCTTGTGTACATATTCTCTATCTTCGACATATACTTTGTTAGCCCAATTGTCTCGGGCATGCGCTTGTTCCAAATAGAGAGACCCGAATCCACTCCACCACCCGCAGATCGTCTAGTGCTTTTCGTCGGTTCGTGAAGCATCCACTGCCCAATTCGTTAGTTTCTTGCTGACGGAAAGTCCCCCGTTACAGGCGATGGCCTCCGAGCCGACAAAGCCTTCCAATCGCATCCGGAGCCCTACCCCAAAACCGACGACGACCTCGTTCCCCGGCCTTTGGCCCCGTTCCTACGATCAAAGGTCCTCGGAGAAGGTACCTTTGGTGTCTCACACACGCGTGTCCCGACCGAATCTCGTCCCGGGCATGTAGCCCTAATCGCCGGTCTCTACGAAGATGTGTCGGCAGTGACCACGGGGTGGAAGTTGAACCCCGTCGATTTCGACAGCGTGTTCAACCGCAGCCGGCACACATGGAGCTGGGGAAGCCCGGATATTCTGCCCATGTTTGAGCAGGGCGCGGTTCCAGGACGGGTGGACGCTTTTATGTACGGTGCTGAGCTGGAGGATTTCTCCTCGGACGCCCTTGTGCTGGACCTCTGGGTGTTTGACCACGTCAAGGACCTGTTCGCTGAGGCGCGCACCAATCAGACTCTCAACGAGGCGCTGCGACAGGACAAGATTGTCTTCTTCTTGCACCTACTAGGGCTAGACACGACAGGACACTCGAACCGGCCGTATTCCAAGGAGTATCTTCACAACATCAAAGTGGTGGACGAAGGGGTTCAGCAAATCGCCGAGCTCATGAATGACTTCTACAAAGACGACCGGACAGCTTTCGTTTTTACCGCCGACCACGGTATGAGTGACTGGGGAAGCCACGGCGACGGTCACCCCGATAATACCCGTACTCCCTTGATTGCCTGGGGCTCAGGGGTAGCCAAGCCCCAGCTGTACCCCGGAGAGGTCGCGCCTGGTCACGATGAGTACTCCTCGGATTGGAATTTAGACCATGTAAGGAGGCATGATGTTGAGCAGGCTGATGTGGCCGCTCTCATGGCGTACCTTGTCGGAGTCGAGTTCCCCGCCAACTCCGTCGGCGAGCTACCTCTTTCGTTTCTGACAGCCAGCCTAAAAGACAAGGCGGACGCTGCGTTGATCAACGCGCAAGGCATTCTCGAACAGTATCGAGTTAAGGAGGAGATGAAGAAGGCCACTGAAATGCGGTACAAACCCTACGAGGCCTTGAGTGATGGTGGGTTAGACGCTGAAAGCCGTGTGGCCTATATTCAACAACTCATTGGAGCTGGCAGCTACGAGGAGGCTATTGAGGAATCGGCCGCCCTTCTGAAGGTTGGTCTTAGCGGTCTGAGGTATTTGCAGACGTATGACTGGCTCTTTCTCCGGGCCCTCATCACGATAGGGTACCTCGGGTGGGTGGCGTACGCCATTGCCACAGTTATTGATCTCCATGTGTTGCATGGGCGTCTCCAGCCCTCCCGAACTTTGGGTGGGGTTGTGGCTGCAACCTCCGCGTTGGCTGCGCTCTATGCGTCGTTCGTCGTTTCTAAGTCGCCGCTCACCTACTACGCCTACGCCTTCTTCCCAGTATTCTTTTGGGAAGAGGTGTATGCACGACGAAGCAGTTTGGTAGAGGGCCGCAAAGAATTGTTCGGCCACGTCAAATCTGGAGGTAGTCTTGTGTCTCTCATCTTCAACGGCGCCGTCTATGTCGGAATCATCGAGTCTCTGGTGAGTGTTGCTGTCCTTTCCCGCTTTCTGCAACATGGCTAACCGCTTAGGCTCTTGGGTACATCCACCGTACCGTCCTAACGGTCTTGTTTGTTATTGGCGCCTTCTGGCCGGTCGCCTACGGTTTCTCGTTCCTACACCAGCACGGCGCCCTGTCATTGATGTGGTTCCTCTCATGTATCGCCATGAGCATCTTCACGCTCCTTCCGCCAGCCATGACGAGTGAGGACGTCAACATGATGTACGTCCTTCCGAATTCAGGTTGTAGCCAGATACTAACCCCTCGTGTCCCAGCGTTATCGGAGGCGCATTAATGGTTATCGTCGGCGTTTTATATCTTATCATGGAGGACTTTGTTCTCTCCGACTTTGGCCGCTCTGGGAAACCCTCGTCACCCAACCATGTCTCGAGGACTCTTGTGGGCGTCCAGATCGGCATGACCCTACTTGCTATTCTAGTCACGCGGTCCAGCGCCCTGTCTTTACAAGCGAACCAAGGTCTTCCTCGCGGCAACCAGATTGTGGGCTGGATCATCCTCGGTAGGTCAAGAGCAGCCCATCAGGTTATTAGGATCGCTCTGCTAACCTGAGCCAGTTTCATCCCTCCTGATGCCACTCGCGTACAGGGCTCAGCCGAACAACCACTACATACACCGGATCCTTGTCATCTTCCTTACCTGCGCCCCTACCTTTGTCCTCCTCACCATCTCCTACGAGGGTCTCTTTTACGTCGCCTTCTCCACAACCCTGGTGAGCTGGGTCCGGCTTGAGCACGCCGTCTACCTTTTTTCTCCTCCTCATCGCCCGGCTTCAACCACCGCCAACAACAAGAACGGCTCGGCCCCTACCCCCGCCACCTCGACGGATGCTATCACGACCACCGTGAACGAGCAGACACGCCTCCCCGCCCCCTTCCGCCCGCTAACCCTCCGCGATGCTCGCGTCGCTCTCTTCTTCTTCGTCCTCTTCCAATCCGCCTTTTTCAGCACCGGCAACGTTGCTTCCGTCTCTGCCTTCAGCCTCGAGAGCGTATCCCGCTTAATCCCCGTGTTCGACCCCTTCTCGCAGGGCGCGATGTTGATCCTAAAGTTACTGGTCCCCTTTGCGCTGCTGTCAGCGAACCTGGGTATTCTAAACAAGCGGTTGGGCGTGGCGCCGTCGGCGCTGTTTATGGTGGTCATGGCGATTAGCGATATCCTAACGCTATACTTTTTCTGGGTCGTGAAGGATGAAGGGTCATGGTTAGAGATTGGGTCGACCATTAGTCACTTTGTGATTGCGAGCCTTCTATGTGGGTTCGTAGCAGCGTTGGAAGGGGTGAGCGCGGCGTTTATCGCTGGAGTAGAAGTCACTGAGGATGTGGTGAAAGCGGTGGGGGAAGGGCAGGTGGCAGACGTGTTGTTGGAGAAAACGGGCGAGGGGAAATAGGGGTTTGCGAGTGACCTGCTGTATAATTGGTAATATGTATCGGCAAGTCATCGCGGTCCCAATATATATGAAAATTCAGAACCGAGATTCCACGACGAAACTCGACGCTCTTCCTTCCCAAGCAAAAGTGAATTCTCAGCATCATTATAAACCCGTTTAATGGTAAGTTGGGCTAGTTGACTGGCCTGGAATTCTCCTCCACACATTGCCATGGACCTGGTTATTAACTAATTGTCGGCCGTTCAGCATGTCACCGACAAGCTCAAGTCCAATCCATTAACATTCGATCAAATTTTGGTAAATTTTGATTGATTTACTCTTTTTTGTCTTTTGTCACTCTCTAGTTTATTCTTTTTTATCTTCTTTCACTTTTTTTGGTTTCTTCTTTTTGTCTTTTTTCACTTTTGTAGCAAAGTAAGTTATCCAGGGACTTGGTCTGCCGCTTTTTTTGGCCATAGCGAGGGTAGTTCAAGGTGTGCACGTGCGGGCGGCACTTCGCCCTCATGCAAAAGAGCCCTAAAGCAGCCGACAGACTCTAAGAGGAAGTGAACAGGACTAGATGCGAGTTTCCGCTTCTCCGCTTCGTGAGTTCGACTCATGGAGGGGGCATCACAGCAAAACCCATCTAGTTTTTTGTAGCTGTTCACAACCTCACCGGAGGAAGTGGGCAGTGAGCTTTTTGAATTTCATCCGGGCCATGGGCAAAAGCTCGGCCCGGGAGAAGCTGTCTGACTGGGATGCCCGGTTCAAACGGTTCCGTGGAACGCCGAACGATCTGCCCACCTTACGAAAGCCTGGACTGGGCGAAACCTTGCAAGCCTCAACTAGAAGATGTACAAAGTACACTACATAGTACAGAAATATCCCATCTCTCTCGATCATCGCAACAGAACATGAAATTTACTGCGGAAAAACGAAAACATGACGTGGTGACAGATTCAGAAAGCATCCTCCAGCGCTATACCATAGCGAAGCGAAGGGAAGTCTCTCAAGAACTGAGCTTGTGCATTTTTCAAGCGGTTGGGCGTGCACAGATGGGGTATCGATAAATTTCAAGAGCTGGCGGAGTTCGAGGTCTCGGCCGAAACCTGCCGGACAGCATATGGCGCAGTTGAATTAGGTTGCTAGACTCTTGGTGGCTCCGTTTCTTTCTTAACACACCTGGTGCTCTGTGTAATCCCATCTTCGCGGAGCTTCCTCCCTTACCCTTCGGTCCGAGAATGTTCGACCTGTGGAGGGCGCAATTGGGAGCGCCTACTACATAACAGCAGCAAGCAAGCCAGCCCCGACGGTTTGATACCCGAGGTATTCGAGCAAATCCTGTGTATTGGGATTTCATAGCCGCCCACTCTGTCTTCTCACATTTTCACCAACAGTGCGGATGACAGAAGGCGGGGGCGAGCCTTTTTGGCCCTGATTTATTCTCTTTCTGGTGTAGTATCGATTTGGGACTGCATCAGACAGGGTGTGAGACGAGGTGAACTCGGGATCGAACTCGTATGCCAAGAGTTCCCCAGATTCACAGCCCGTCGATCGGCCGCTCTTTCCCGATCGGGCTGACTTTGCGGTACACATGAATAAAAAACATTGGGAAGTGGGAGTCCTCCAGCTGTCTCGGTACTTGGCACAGACGTCGATGTCAGAGTTGCTTGTTGCTCGACTCGGCTTTTTGACTGCCTTCCTGCCCTCCGGCCCAATGACGACGACTAGATGTGGCGGTCATGCAAATTACAGCATCGTGAGATATAATACACTTCCCCCCTTGTGCGTTGTTGAAAAATCGAGGCGGGCCTCCAAGCCGTATCATCTGCGATGCTCAGGTGGAAAATAAAGGACTGTGCGAAACGCGCGTGGCCGAAAGCGCGAAAATGCAAACTCGAAACAGGCAACCGATCATTCGCTCAATAGACATCGGGAACCCCTGAGATGGTGGGGAAGGTTGGGGAGACTGAGCTCCATGCGTCACAGCGCCCTTGACCGTGCTCCCATGTCGAGCCACGAGCCAAGAACCTCCTGGTTGTTGTAAAATTTGGGGGGGTTTTCTGCCCCATACCTGCATTGCGCTTCTGCGCGCACGACAACAGGCAGGGGGGCGACAAGGCAACCCCTCACCTCATGCCCTCCCCCCTGGCATCCTTGCCCGTAGTGGAAGCTTCCATCACTTGAAAGCCCGCCGTGCCCCTCGCCTTGCGACCGGTGAAGCCTGGTAGAACTTTTCTCTCATTGCTTAGAGACAAACAGCTCTAAAAAGAAACCAGATTTATAAGTTATCCAGTTGAGGGGATATATAAAAACCGACGATTCTCTGTGCCGCCCTTCGTACCTTGCCTGCACACCGTGGCCAAACCTGCACTTGGGACACCCGGGTAGGTAGGTGGAGAGAGGTCGCGCAACTTTGGGGGAAACGGGGAATTCTTAACTGCCCGTCGCTGCGGACCCCCCGGGCCCGTCCCCAGCGCAGGACGATCAGAGGAGCGCGGTGGCGGAACACGAGAGGACCACACGGCTCGGTCTGTTGAGGACACCGGCCACGCAACACAGTTGTCGCTTTGCAACAACCATTCCCTCATCGCCGTCGCCCATCCCGAAAGAGGACTCTATCGCGCGCTCAGCAATAGCACTGGACTTTGCGCTCGCCTATCTCCTCCCTATCCACCCAGCCGCTCCGGCCCCGCTCGCTTCGTCGTCGCCGAGATGGATATCGATACGGGTGCCCGGACGCCCACCGATACTATGTCCACGGGACAGCCGTCAACGTCGCCGTCACAGCATTCGTCTACAACACCTACCGCATCGGGCGGGACGACGACAACGACGACAACCGCGGGACAAATGAGCTTTCGAAGGTTGGTTGGGTCCGACTATGCCCGCGCCCTGAGGGGCCGAAAGGACGAGGTTTCGGGTTTTGGCTGACTTGAGTTTTTTTCGGTGAACAACAGGCAAAGAGCCTCTAGAGCTTGCGAGGTGAGTACCAGCTAGGCAATACTCCTTTTATATGTGATGGAAAGCCGTGTTTCGTGGTGGATTAGATGTGGTGCTTTGTCCCGAGGCTCGTTGCGCAATTGCGGGCAGCCTCGCGTATCGTGCCTCGGCTCATCCACACATCCGGCAGTTTTGGGACACATCGAAACTAACAATTTGCCCACCACTAGACATGTCACGCCCGAAAAGTACGGAAACCTGAATGCACTACGGCCGCTACCGCTGCAGATCCTTCCACTCTTCTAATCTCTACCGACGGCCATGTTACTTACTTCCGCCGCTTTTGACAGGTTCGCTGTGATGCCGCAAGCCTCGGTGTCCCTTGTACCAATTGCGTCGCTTTCCAGATAGAGTGTCGCATCCCACAGCCAAAACGAAAGAAGGCTCAAAGCACCACTGCGCAATCCAGGGATTCAGATAGGTACTTACACCAGGGCCCTGGCGGCCAGCCATTATGATCTGGGGGCCACATATCGCCGGCTACCATTGTTCCTACCACCAACAACACTAACTGAAAAGCAGTGAACGAGGAGAAGAAGACCGGTCGCCGCTTCCGCCCGGCACCAACGCATTCCCAGCCGGGAACACCCGACCCCCCGCCGTCTACCACACCCACGAGGGTACCCCCTCCACTGCCACCACCGAGGCAGAACAGCAAAAGAAGGATGAATTCGACAATGCCACGCTTGCTAGTTATATGGACCTTGTCATGAAACCCAAGTTTACGAGGGCACCCATCACCGAAGCCGGCAGGGTGGCATACCTAGGCGAATCGTCTAACCTTACGCTGTTAGTCCACGACCGCCAGAATGACGGCGATGTCGTGCATTATCCGCTGCCGGAAAACATCAGGGGATCGAGAGCCCGGTTGACCGAGCTGGACAATGTGGAAATCGAGATTCTCCACCAACGGGGTGCTTTCCTCCTCCCACCACGAGCTCTCTGCGACGAGTTGATCGACTCTTACTTCAAATGGATACACCCAATCGTCCCCATCATCAACAAAACAAAGTTTCTCCGTCGTTACCGGGACTCGAAAAACCCTCCTTCGCTCCTCCTACTACAAGCTATGCTGCTTGCGGGCTCTCGCGTTTGTACCAACCCACAGTTGATGGACGCGAACGGCTCTTCCACACCTGCGGCTTTAACATTTTATAAAAGAGCAAAGGCTTTATACGATGCCAGCTACGAGGATGATCGCGTTACTATCGTTCAGTCCCTTTTGCTGATGGGCTGGTACTGGGAAGGCCCGGAGGACGTCACAAAGAACGTCTTCTACTGGACTCGGGTCGCAACCATCGTCGCCCAGGGCTCGGGCATGCATCGCAGTGTCGAAGGGTCACAACTCAGCAAGTCGGATAAGCGGCTATGGAAGCGGATATGGTGGACTCTTTTCACCCGTGACAGATCAGTGGCCGTCGCCCTGGGCCGGCCGTGTCACATCAACCTCGACGACTCCGACGTAGAAATGCTCACCGAGGACGATTTCAACGAGGACGAGCCCGACCAGCCGAGCGAATGCCCTCCTGATCCGATCCACATCCACTTCTTCTTGCAATACGTCAAGCTGTGCGAGATTATGGGTCTCGTGCTCTCACAACAGTACTCGGTGGCCGCCAAGGGGCGGAAGAGCAATCCGATCGACCTCACGCACAGTGACATGGCGCTTGCAGACTGGTTGCAAAATTGCCCCAAGATCGTGTATTGGGAGGTGCCAAACCACCATTTCTGGTCAGCCTTACTCCACTCCAACTACTACACCACCCTTTGCCTCCTCCATCGCGCCCACATGCCGCCGAGTGGTTCCCACAGGTTTGGGGATGACTCGGTGTATCCCTCCCGGAACATTGCCTTCCAAGCGGCCGCCATGATAACCTCTATCATTGAAAATCTCTCGGCCCGCGGGGAGCTCCGGTATTGCCCGGCGTTTGTGGTCTACAGTTTGTTCTCAGCCTTGATCATGCATGTTTATCAGATGAGGTCACCGGTGCCATCGATTCAGCAAGTCACGCAAGACCGGATACGGACCTGTATGGTCGCCCTCAAGGATGTCTCCAAGGTTTGGCTTGTCGGCAAGATGGTGCACACATTGTTCCAGTCGATCCTTGGGAATAAGGTGCTCGAAGAACGGTTGCAAAAGGCGGCTGGCAAGCGACACCGCAAAGCGCAGCATAGCGTGTCACAGCTAGAACAGCATCGGTATGCGCAGGAGCAGAAACGCAAATATGATGAGATGGCCATCGACTTCAGCGTGAGCACGCCCCAGCCGCAAGAATCGTATGAACGCTCAAGACCGCAGACTCCAAGCATGGCGGCCAAGCCCGACCCGGCCCTCGGCGCAATGCCGCCACCCACAACCACTGCCGCTGTGAACAACACGGCCACATCTCCGCACGCCCGCAACAATGGTGACACCTTCATGGGCGGCACCGCTTCACGGCCCCATACTCGGCCCGCTACTCCGTTCAACCCGTCCTTCTCCGTTCCGGCGACACCACCCGACCTCTACCTCGTCACAAGAAACTCGCCGAACTTGTCGCAGGCCATCTGGGAGAATTTCCAACCCGATCAACTCTTCCCCGAGAGCGCCAACGCTCCGTTGTATCAGCAACTTTCGCCACCACAAGCTCAAGCTACGCTAGACCACCATATGATGGCGCAAATGCAGCAGCAGCAACAGCAACAGCAGCAACAACAACAACAACAGCAGCAGCAGCAGCAGCAGCAGAACATCCAGCCCCAACAACCAGGCCCCGATAGCACCAGCGCATTTGGTCAACCTATCACCCCGAACAACAACAATCTCAACAACAAGCGGGGACTGGCCAGCAGCCCGATGCAACCGAACGGGGGTGGTTTGTTGCAGCCCGGCATGGGAGGACCCTTTTCAACCGGCCAGCAACAGGGTAACGTGGCGGGGGGCATGTGGCATGGGTTTGATGCGCCGATAATGGACGGGCAAAGCCCAAGCGATAGCTGGAGTACAAGTTCTGTGCACGGGCAACCGCCTGTTCCCGCGACTTTGAATGTGGAGGACTGGTGCGTCCTTACTTTACCCCCTCAATCATTTCCAAGGAACCCCAGCTAACTTTTGTGTTGCGTGTTAGGTTCCAATTCTTCGGCATCCAGAACGACCCAGGAAACCCGATGAATCTCGATAACCTGCCATTTTAGCCTATGCCCCCAACTCTCGGGCGGTATTCCAGGTTTTTGTTTCTCTTTTCATTGGCGTATGTTTCCATGATAGTCGAGCAGAGTGGCCATTCCTAGTAATGCGTGCCTTTCTCATATACCCGATGCCATTTTGAACAGGTGCCAAGGGATATATGGCGGTGCGGTGTGTGTGTTACGAAGCCGACATATTGAGTTGAATATGGGACATATCATCAAAAGTCGTGGGGTATGTGGGCAGATGGAAAAGCTGCAGCGTTTTGCTCTTCCCTATGGTATTATGGCGGCACATGTGCAGTTGTTGTCCTAGTATCGGTTGGCCGGCCAGAACGAGTTATGATGAAAATACGAATACTGGCGTAAGATGTCCCAACTATGTATTATAGCGGATTCAACACCAAGCGAATGTTGGCAGCGTCAATGAAGTATCTCTGTTGGCCATGGCCGAACCATGTATGGAGTGGACTTGCCACATGTGGCTAACATGTGTACATACCTTACCTGGGAAGGCAAGACTCGATGTTGATACCGCGCTCCCTGACAGACTAATCATCGTAATTTCAATCATCATTGGTTCCATTTTTTCCTTGTTATTTTCCTGCTTTTAGACGTTCTTGCTCTCTCACATAGAAATTGAATTGGCCGCCCGGGAACCGGCACCTCGGCTGCACAGCATGTTTTCAAGGTTTGGCCGCATATTGGGCCGCACAACCGCCGAGGGGGCCGCACAGGGTGACGGCCTTTGCAGAACCGCCGGCGTAACTTCCTGGTCGTCTCGACTACGGATCGAGTGCTGAGTTCTCAAAGGTGGACTTTCCAGTTCCCTTCGCCAGGCGAGGTAGACTGATGTTTTCCCCTAAGTATACGAGACAGTCGGTACCCAATTGCCAAAATTCAGGAGGTCGATCCCAAAAGCAAGCTTCCGTCACGACCTATACCAGGAATGTACTCAGTGGGTAGGGAGGTTGTTTGGGAATCGCCTATCAGCTTCCCCGGTACTTCGTACCCGGCCCACGTTGGACTTCGATGGCCCGATGCAAGCGCCAACCCCCACCTGCCTCCCCAGGTCCACCCCGCTCGCGCGATTGGGGAGAACGGGCCGCTGCGTGCGCAACCAGTCCTGTGGACCGGGCAGGCGGGCAGCGAGCGTTCGAGAAACGTTTATCAATCGATGCGGGAACAGGACTGGCAGTACCAACATCGTCACCCTCCTGCCCTTCCCACCCCTCATCATCCGGCGCTTCCATTCGAGTGCCTTGAAGCCAATCAATGGCTGATTGACGGGGTCTTGGCAACCGCAAAGTAACCATCCTCGGGTTTTTACGATTCTTTTTTCTCTCTTTGCTTGCTTTCCCACAGATTCTAGCCGGCGGTGTGAACAGACGTGCCATATGCAGACGCTAAATAAGCGCAGATGCTGCTCGGAGGGCGTTTCTTAATCATGATTGACTGGAAGGCGATCAGACATTTTCATGCTCACCCAGCCAAAACCCAGAACCCCTCTTCACCTTGTCGTATGATTGCAGTAGGGACATGGTCTTTTTGGTTTGATATAGGAACTGGCAGCGGTTACGGCGAGGTCACACAAAGCGGGCTCCGCGCTTCTCCTCTTGTCCTCGCTTGAGAAATATTCCGTCGTCGCAGAGTCGAGAGGGGCCGCTGCTGACTTGAGGCGGGGTCATTACCCAACTGGTCAGGTAGGATCGCTTTGGGTGCCCAAACGGCCGGGCTCGGTGCAGCGCCGACCGCTGCCCGTTCTGCCAGAAGGGCGGCAGCTCGATAAACGCGCAATGCCCGCCTCACAAACGCGCGGCCTCGAAACGAGTGTTCGCGGGTGTTGGTTCATTTTGTCTTTGCTGCGGCTAACAACCGACGGAAACAATCGACAGGGATCTTCCCTCCATGGTGAGGGTGAGGGGCAGCCTGGAACCTTGAGGTTGGGGTCTCACTAGGGGCGAGCCAAGCGTTCGCGGAATGCCCCACTGCATGTCGCTGCTTCCAGAGGTGCCGTCCGTAGCTCCAGAGCATCTGTTGCCGCCGTGCCTTTCCATCCTTAGAGCTGAGCCACTGGAGTTGTCGTTGGCCCCGACAATTAACTTCACCTCAGCCCCGTGCTTCCTTTCTTCTTTGCGGATGTTCTAGGTGCTGAGATGAGGTCAATGTCCTTGTGGACAATATACATCCTTGCTCGGCGATAGGGACCCTCGTAACCCACCTCGACGTAACCCAGGCAGCCAGCGGTTCCAACCCCGCCATCGAGCCGCATTCACAAGACAACCTCCAGTTTCTAGACCCAAAAGCCTTCGCCCAAGGCTCACACGCCCGGCAGATCTTGGCCACAACTTCAACAAAGCGCCACTTCTCTTACGTGAGGAAGGCTGGGCGAAATACCGACACACACACTCGAGCTTCTCCCAAGCGACATCTTACCCCTGCGCCATCCCAAAGCTTGAGCTCGACACCATGACGCAAGCACCGATGATTTCGGTGCCTCTCAAGGCCACAAACGAGATAGATTGGATTACACCGCTGAAATCATACATCCAAAATACCTACGGCGACGATCCCGAGCGATATGCGGAGGAATGCGCCACCCTCAACCGGCTTCGGCAAGATATGCGGGGGGCTGGGAAGGACAGCACAGCTGGGAGGGACCTGCTATACCGATACTATGGCCAGCTTGAATTGTTGGACTTGCGGTTTCCAGTTGACGAGCAACATATCAGGGTATCCTTCACATGGTAACAAACACCCCTATCTCTTATCCAAAACCACGCCGCCTCGTGGCCCTTTGCTTGGTCACCAGCTCTGACATATCCCGGTTCAGGTTCGATGCCTTCACCCATAAAGCTACGGCGCAGTACTCGCTGGCCTTCGAGAAGGCCTCGATCATTTTCAACATCTCCGCCGTTCTGTCTTGCCATGCTGCCAACCAAACACGAACCGAAGAATCGGGCCTCAAACAGGCATACCACTCCTTCCAGGCCTCAGCCGGCATGTTCACCTACATCAACGAAAACTTCCTCCACGCGCCGTCCTCTGATCTGAGCCGCGACACAGTCAAGGCGCTTATAAACGTCATGCTGGCACAAGCTCAGGAAGTCTTCCTCGAAAAGCAGATTGCCGACCAAAAGAAAATCGGGCTCCTCGCAAAACTCTCGAGTCAGGCGGCCACGCTCTACGGTCAGGCGCTTGAGGGCGTGCAGGAGAACGTGAATAAGGCGATATTTGAAAAGGTCTGGCTGCTTATGGTGCAGTCCAAGTTCAGCTTGACGAGTTCCATTGCCCAATACTACCAGGCACTTGCCGACGACGACGCCAACTCCCACGGCATGGCCGTTGCCCGCCTCCAGGTGGCCGAGACTCATGCCCGAGAAGCCAACAAAATAGCTAGCAATTTCCCCAGCACCGTACCCCCGAGTTCCAATCTGGCCGCAGACACGGGAGTTACACTAGCTGAAATCACCAAAAGGCATCTAGCCGCGGTTCAGCAGAAACTCAGGGAGCTGTCGAAGGACAATGACTTCATCTACCATGAGAATGTGCCCGATGCGGCTGGAGTGCCGGCCGTTGCGAAACTGCCCGCCGCGAAACCGATCCCGGTCAGCGAACTCTACGCCGGCCAGGATATCCAGCGGATCACCGGCCCCGACCTTTTTGCGAAGATTGTTCCCCTCGCCGTTACTGAATCAGCCAGTTTGTACGATGAGGAAAAGGCCAAGTTAGTGAGAGCGGAGACGGAGCGGGTGGACACTGCCAACAGCGAAATGGCTGCGAGCTTGGACTACTTGAGATTACCAGGTGCCCTTCAGGTGTTGAAGGGTGGGTTTGATCAGGAAATTGTGCCTGACGAAGATTTCCGGACGTGGTGTGTCGATGTTGCCGACCACGAAGACCCTTCCGGGATTTTTGACGGGTTGCATGCACAGAAGCAGTCGATCCTCACATCTCTAGAAAGGAGTAGCAAACAGCTCGACATGGAGGAAAGCGTGTGCGAGAAGATGAGGTCAAAATACGAATCAGAGTGGACTCAACAGCCCAGCTCACGACTCACAACGACGCTAAGGGGGGATATTCGAAACTACCGGGAAGCGCTAGACGAAGCTGGGAGGAGCGACGGTCAGCTGGCTACCAAACTGCGGCAGAACGAGAACGAATTCCACGAGATGAGGTCGGCTGCGCAAAATGGAGAGGTTGATTCGTTATTCCAACGAGCCGTGAAGAGAGTACGCAAATCGAGCAATGTCAACAGCCCGTCCTCGGAGCCCAATCTTCTTGACGCCGACTTCGATGACGGAGGCCCGAGTGTCGTGGACCAGATCGCGAAGGTGGAGGATATTTTGAAGAGGTTGAACTTGATCAAAAGGGAGCGCATCCAAGTGCTGAAGGATCTCAAAGAGAAGGTACGCAGGGGTTTGCGATATTTTCCCAGTTAAAAGTCCCAACTAACAGCGAATAGGCACACAACGACGATATTTCGCAAATTCTGATCCTGAACAAGAAGTCGATCGCCAACTACGAGCAGCAGCTATTCCAACAAGAGTTAGAAAAGTATCGGCCGTACCAGAACCGCCTGGTCCAAGCAACACACAAGCAAGCGGCCTTGATGCGGGAGCTAACCGTCGCATTCAATGGGTTACTGCAAGACAAGCGTGTCCGTGCCGAACAAAGCAAATACGAGTCATTCCAGCGGCAAAGGGGAGCCGTTATCGGGAGATACAAACGGGCGTACCAAGAATTTCTGGATCTTGAAGCCGGCCTACAGAGCGCAAAGACGTGGTACAAGGAGATGAAGGAAACGGTTGAAAGCTTGGAAAAGAATGTTGACACCTTTGTCAATAATCGCCGGGCCGAAGGCGCCCAGCTCCTTAACCAGATCGAACAGGACAGAGCGGCAAACAAGGGCGCGCAGGCCGCCCTGGAGCAGGAACGGATACGGGGTTTAATGGAAAGGATGTCGATGGAGCCGCCGCCAACATCGCCTCAGCCAACCTCGTCGCGGCCGACACCTGCCCCCCTCACATTTAGCACTGGGCCGTCGTACCCCAAGACCAACTTCTCCGGCCAATATCAACTCCCCAGCTCCCCTCCACCGAACCAAACGACGGCTCCACAGTCCTACATGCAACAGCCGTACAACCCAAGCTCCCACGGCCGCATTCCCGGCCCGGCATCACCACCTCCAACCCAATCCACCTTCAACATCGGCCCCATACACGGCGGTCCCGCATCCCCGCCTCCTACTCAAGTATCTTTCTCCCAACCCTCAAGGTTCAGCACCTACGGTAACCCATCCGCTCTGCAGCCTCAACAACCACAGCAGCCACAGCAACACCAACAGCAACACCAACAGCAACACCAACCGCCGACACAACAGCAGCAGCAGCACGCGAGTTACATTCCACCCAACTTTGTCCCGCCACCGCCACCACCGGGGCCCCCGCCACTCGGCCCGCAACAGACGATCCATTACGGCTCGGGGCATTATTCGAGTGATCCAAACGTTGGGCGACCGGGCTCAGCGCAGCAGCAGGGATATGGGCCCCCGGGGCAGGGAGGACAGGGGGCACAAGGGCAGGACCCGTGGGCGGGTTTAAGTGCGTGGAAGTAGGATGCTGTTGATTTGCGTTGAAGAAAGGGGGGCAATGTGGGATGAAACTCACGAGTATCGGCCGCGTTGCGCGGATGGGAGTGCTGGCGGGAGTAATCGATGGGGGGTTGGATTCACGACAAGTAGACTTCGGAAACCGGTGATGATGCGGTTGAGTGTTGCCAGCGAAGAGTAAGAAATTTATGACAACATTATACAGTCCTTGGTTCTAATCCGGTCCGTGATTTTGATATGAGCCCCTCTGCGTCTTTTGGGCGGTGTCTGTTGCTTCTAGTGGGCTTCTAGGGGGTGATATAAAAAGAAGAGAGGGGCATAGGGGATGCAGTGTTTGGGAAAATCAAACATCTGGCAAAGTACCCGACTGTTAATGTTGGAGTTGTGTTGTTGCTAGGAAAGTCAACCTTTTAATGGTTGGTAATTGAATTAGGGAAACTGTTTGTGCACCACTAATGTCGTTTTTATGTCACTCGCATCTGACTAGGCGGTGGTGGGGATCCTCTAGGACTTAGTTAGGACGAAGTTCCCACATAATGAAGTACATGTAATTATAAGGAGGTCGGCACCCACCCGAACGGGTAACAAGTCAACCATCAATATCCTGAACGCGGGGGTGCCGCCGGCCACAAGGCCCTCTAAATAACCAACTCAGGTACCTAGCAACCTAGGCACTTATTATCACGAAGCACCGGATTAGCCGACTCGTAAGAGCAACCAAAACTCCGTTTTGGGGAGCTTCCTAACCCCTCATCCTCTCTTTCCAGTCTGCGGGGAAAGTGGGGTGTAATGAGGAAGATGAACGGGAGCTGTGGGTTGGGTATGCGCTCGTCATTCGGCATTTGCTGCAGTTCGACGGCAAGATGTAAAGTAACACCCGGCAGAGCCTTTTATCACGAGCAAATAAGTACTTCCTTGAGGCTAATTGGTTTCCCCGGCCGATGCGCTGTGGCCCGACTTGGCGTCTCAACAGTACATACGTACATGTACCTAATCGTCTAAGACAAGGAAGTCACGGACCTCCGGAACTATATTTAAGATCCGCAGGGACACTCATCCAACACCCCGCAGACACTTTTACTCTGCTTCCACTTTACACTTGCCGTTCATTACATCAACAAGTCATTGAGAAAACAACACAGACTGCCGCTCACAGGGGCCCGACACTATTTACCTTATTCAACCATAATACCACGGAATTGCTGGTCTCATATCTGCCAGAATGTCGTTCGACCGTGAGTTTCCGCGGTTCCTACCCGCTCCCCACGAACGCCCCGGAACTCCGAAGGTTCACCACTAACTCCAACACAGGCCTCGTTCGGTTTGCGCCCAAAGGTGACGACAGCAAGGTTCTTCTCGGCGAGCCCGCTGACGTCTCTATCGACGTCGGCGCTGCGGTGCGCAAAGGTGAAGATGTTGAGGTGAAGGTGTACAGTGGAACCTCTGTACTAGACACCGGGTCACCGACTGGCGAGACCGCCGTCATCGGACGCATCCTGTCGCCCCTGACCCAGCAGGAGGTCGGGACCATCCGGTGTATTGGGCTAAACGTAAGCTACTCGCCAGGTCTACACATAAGGAAGGAGCCTAGAGGATAGATGCTGATGAAGGGTTTGGAAACTCAGTACAAGAAGCACGCTGAAGAGGCAGGGATGAGCATCCCCGAGATTCCGACCGTCTTCCTGTGGGTTCCCTTTTCCGGTTACGTCGATGTCTCCTTTTTGGTGATGCTAATATTTGTGCCCCTCATACAGCAAGCCCCAAACCTCCCTCGCCGACCCATACCCTGCCCCAACCATCATCCCGAAGCACACCATCGCTAGCGACTCGGCTGACTATGAGTCCGAGCTGGCAATCGTATTGGGGAAGGACGCCAAGAACGTATCGGAGGCCGACGCCCTCGATTATGTGTTAGGCTACACGGCTAGCAACGACATCTCTAGCCGTGCATCGCAGTTTGCCCAGACCCAATGGTGCTACTCCAAGGGATTTGACGGCGCATGCCCCATCGGTCCGGTGCTTGTGAGCAAGAAGCTAGTCCCGGACGTCGGTAAGCTGAAGCTTCGCGGGATTAAAAACGGCAAGGTGGTGCAGGATAGTGGGCTGACGTACGTTTTTCTTTTCGTGTCGTTTCGTTCTCGGCCCCTTTGAACGTACCATGCACGCAATGGAGCAATAATTAACCAAGAATCTAGGGATCTTATTTTCTCTGTCGAAAAAATTGTCAGCTTCCTCTCGCAGGGCACAACGCTGCCTAAAGGCACAGTCATCATCACGGGTACGCCGGCTGGTGTTGGTTTTGCACACAAACCACAGGAACTATTGCACGACGGGGACGAGTTCGTGGTGGAGATTCAGCCGCATATTGGGAGTCTGTACAACGTCCTACAGAACGAGAAGTAATCAGGTGCCGGAGTTGTTTCCAACGGGTTACAGTCGGGGCCAATTCAAGGCAGAATCATTGCAACAGCTCGAGCCATCATCGTTCGTGTTATTGTACGTTCTATACACACCCACAATCTGTTGCTCCGCCCGTAAACGATCTTCGACATACTAAAGAAGCGCAAAGTCCATGGCGACAACCCCGATCAATAATTAATTAAAACAATCAGGGCAGGGAGAACAAACATGGAATGAAAATAGAATCCGTGACAAATCTTTCGAAATAATCTGATGTCTAAGATTTCAACCACGTCGTTCCAAGCACACGTTCTGGTCTATTTAATCCGGCCATTGTACGGGAGGACTGGCTTGACCTGGTGACTGAAATGGGGCCGGGGAGGTTAGGCAGTGGTTCTCAAAGTTCAAATACATTTTGAATTGCTGAGTGGATTCGGTGCACATCCTCTTAGGGTGAAGGCGTGGACGAATGGTTAAAAAGGAAACAATTATAATGAGAATAGGAATAGCGGCAAGAGCTGTCGTACCGTCTAATAGCCGTTAAGCATGAAATGAGGTTTGCTACGACTCGGCTATCGTTCCCAGTCCTGGTTAAATAGGTACCTGGAGGGGACTTAGACAGACAATTTCATAGCATTCATAATCATAGTAATGTTCATACGGAGCTACAACTATACGGTTAGAGCCACACCTAACAAATGAATATGGGCTGTTAATATAAGGTCGTGAAGTTTGACTTGCTTCTTGTTGCCTCCGCACTCATACCTACAGTCCCACAACCTCCAGAAAGACGAATATTCAATTGCTCCACTTCAGTGCTTGTTGATTTTTTTTTAAGAAAATAAAAACACCTTGATAACCCACTCACACCTCGTTGCAAGGACCAGGCGACTTGCATGTCGCATCCATTCCCTTGGGTCGGAGCTCCCCGCCCGCGTGCTCGCATCGCAATTGGCAACCGAGCTCACCGCTCGATCGCTTGATCGCATGGACGGTTGGCGATTGGGTTTTGGGTTGAGTTCGTTGCTGCGCATGACGTTTGCCCAATGCTAATGGAAAACGTCTACACGAGCACGTGGTGAAGTGGGGAGGGAAAAAAACGATGCCCCGCCTGCGACATCGGATCAAGCGGGATTCGGGATGTCGAGAGATATCACAGAGCAGCTGATGTTGCTTTTTTGCGGAGGGCTTGAGACGGGTAATGTCGGCTGACGAGCTCGGCTTGCGGTCAACAAGTTGGGAAGAGAGTGAACTTCCATGGATCCCGTGTTTGACCCCCCACGCGAAAGTAAATATGCGGCTCCGGCAGAGGAGTCTTCGGCCAGCAAGATAGTGACTTATTTCTGTGACTTGATGCCCTCACTGACAGCGAGTTCAGCCTCATTTCCCACCTCCGAAACACTCTATAGGGCCAGTAGATAGCATGTTCGGTCTGATCTCGGGCTCGCATTTGACTGGGCTCTCACTTGGGGCTGAGATGACGTGCGAGGGAGCATCTGCTCGGCCTTCGCCGGTGAGTTGATACCCTATCGCACTTGCTGATGATACGTGAGAGACGATTGCTCAACCGCGCCTCGCGCGGCCCCTCGGTGGTGGGAACTGGAAAGAGGCATGCTGACGTCGTTCTGTTCAACGGGCCGTGAAACCGCAAAGGACACGGACGATCTCCTTCGGCACATCAAGCATCCCATCAGGGAACCAACGGCTTCGCTTGTCTGGTGCTGGCCTCTCTGATTGGGTCGACCAAAACCCAAGGTTTCTTCCAGAAACTTTCTTTCCCTGGACTCACGATGGGTGATTTTCGCAGACCGATTGCCACGCGCTCAACCTGATAGGACCCGTCGCTGTGTGCTGCAACTTCATCCATGGATTGGTTGGCCACAATGGCGAGCGGATTGTGGACTGAGAGGTTAGGGTCTAACGAAAACAGGCCTGATGATACATTGGGCTCCTGCAGATCCTGATGATTTGCGACCACATGTTTGCTGGCGATGACTGGCATGAGTAGTTATTCGTACCGGCGCTAGAATCTCCCAAAGTCGGGGGATGTGGAGACTACGAAACACTGGGCTTATTGGAAATGAGCGACGCCGCGGGGCTCCTGATCATCTGAGTGACCGATGAATTAGCGGTCGGAAACCTGTGCATCTCATGATGAGAGACGTCCACATCAGAGGATCAGTCGGCCTGGCGGAATGTCGATCAGACCAGGCGTGAGATGAGTGGAAAGAGGAGAGCTGATACTCGTGGGAGATACCCACGACAATCTCGACACACTCTTCCGCTCTGCCCAGAGTCGCAGTTTTACACCTTTCTTAAACTTTTGTTGGCAGGTCATGTTTTTTTACACTAGTTAGTTAGTGGTTAACTTTATCTTTTGCACCCTGGTGCTAGGAAAGGAAGATGGAAACATATTCCTAAGCCTGTCGGACGGAAAGACTTTTCCACAGGTAAATTTCGCTGATGGATCATGGAGGTGGTGTATCTGAGCGGGACATGACCATTTCGCAGGAAAACATGAGAGTGCACCAAACATTGTCCCTAGGTACCTAAGTAGGTGGAACTGGAAAAGGGATGCCGGGCAGAGCCTCAGCTGCTGACCAGTCACCTAACGAGTCCAAGAAGCCGAGCAACTCCGGGCGTTGGGCATGGCCTTTGCGCGCTGATGAACAGCGGCCCAGCGACCCCCAGCACCCAAATACCCCTCATTTTTCAAGCAACCACCCCCGCGGTTGGGACGGGAGCCTGTCATCAACGACCCACGGGAAAACACGCGCGAGGTTGATGTTTCGGGTTTCCTTGGAGATTGACTTGCCCCCCAAGCCCCCTCACTCCCGGCTCCGGATTGCCTTGGCCTGGAAACAAGGGCGGTGTGCAGCAAGGCAGCGGATGGACGGAGCCAGTCGCAATCACGACATCCTCCCTCGGGTGATCGCAGCAATCTGAGCGGGTGCCGACAGACCCGGTGAGCCTGAATGAAGCCTCTTTTTCTTTGCTCGTCGTACTGGGTGGGATTTTCTTTAGGGGGCGAGGCGGCTGGGCCAGCGCCGCCTGCACTTACTTGGCTGCACTAGGTGCGTCAGCAGTGGGCGCAGGGCCACGCGGTGAGACGGGCGCAACGGACACACGACGAGCCTCGAGAGTGATCAATGGACGTTCGATATGGGAGACAACCCGAGGCCGGCCCCCCTCCGTGTGAGAGAGCTTTCTGTCCCCGGATTCGGCGTGCTGCGTTTGCTAGGCGACGCCCGCGCGGGACGCAGAAAGCCTAATTTTAACACACCTGCCGCAAACTCAACAAAAGCGCCCAGGGACGACTGCTGGGCTGCGAGCCACCTGCACAGCGGCGGGGGGGGGGGCGCGTACGCAGTATTATCAGCCTCAACTCGCCCAAGGTGCTTGTTCGGGTTGACGGTACTGAGGGGTTTGCCTGCTCTCTTGTCGGTGGATGCAGGCGGTCGAGCTCATGCAATGTGACATGTTTTTGCTTCGCGCGAGTGTCCTATGTAGTGTACATACACGGTCGGTTACCAGGAAACGCTAATCTGGGGGAACCTGAGGTCACGTCAACCCCGCTTGAATCGTCTCCGACCGTTGGTCGGACCCTGAGCTTTCAATCCCCTCTCGCTCGATGAGTCGATCCCTAGGAAACATGGAACATGGAGCCTCGAGAAAGGAGAAAATAAGGAGAAGACAACTCCTTATTCCCAGTGACAGGTAATATCCCTGCTACTGCGAGCATTCACCGGCTAGTCGGCTTGCGCCAAACACGTGTGGTCAGCTTGTTTAGATTAACCACTGAGCGGTTGCAGAAGTAGAGGTATCTCGGGTTTGCCGGCGTTGATTGCACGACAACTTACTTTTTGCCCAGCGTCTGATGTCCTCGCGGCCGTTTGTTTTGCGAAGGCCCATTCTCGGGTGTTACAGGAACAAAGACCTCGTTTGGGCGCTCACCCTTTCCGGTTGCCTTGTCGCCGACAAATCGAAGCGACCTTCTGTCGGGCCTCGTGACCCTCCCCTGAAAGGAGGTGCCACACCGCTGCATCTCCGTTTGCCCAGCGGCTCTCCCAGCAAGCCCAAGACGCTCGGTGATAGTGCAACGCGGCGCCTCTGTTCGTCGAGAGTTTGGTTCGTCGACCACCCCTCCCCCCTGTCGAGTCAAAAGCTCGCTCCCTTTCCCGAGCTGTTGCACCCAGTCTCGGGCGCCAAGCTGGCGTCCCTGGCCGGGTCCTGGGACCTTGACAGGGAACCGGGTTTCCCACAAAGCGGGTGTGTGGGCAGTTGCCAATGGGTGATGGTGACGACAGACCGAATTGGGGCTTGAGAACTTTTTTTTTTCTCGGGCCATCCCTTTTTTTCGTCCCCGTGGCGTGGTTGGAGCAACCCCTCGATTTGTGCCCAAGGGTTGGTACATCGCAGGGATTGCGCGACAAGGGAGGTACCCGCAGGATATCCCGGATGGGAGAGCACACACAAGGGATATCGACGCGTGGAGAAGTACTTTGCAAGTCCCGTCTCGCGGCGAAACCCCCCACCGTCCATCTTCTTCCTTCATCTCAGCGTGGCTTCCTATTTTGGGAGTTGACCTTCACACTCAGAGAAGGGCGGCTCGCGCCCAAGCTGCACTCCCCGTCTCTTGTTGGCACCGCCGCACCAAGTGTCAAGTGTAGTGCATATAAACCCCCTCTCGACCCGTGGATTTCTGACCTCGGATTCTCCTGATACCTCGACATCACCACTTCTCATCTCAATCTTCACAGTTCATTGAGCTACCTCACCTCCAACTCCTAGTTCTATCCAACTTGATAGCTTCTGTCTATTCTCCCAACCTTGCTCTTCATCACCGGTTATTCTACGCCCTCGCGTTTACACACCTACACACACGTACACTCTCAATCACCAATTACAAGTAGTCACTATCAACTACCAGCAACACCTCATCAACCTCCGCAATGGCCGTCAAGGAGTACCAGGAACTCGTCAACGAGTGCTGCTCGTTCTGC